GACGCGGACTAAACTTATTCCTCTGTAGTTGGAGCAGATTGTGCACAGGCCCTTTTTGAAGATGGGTACGACTATCGATTCACCCCAAGATGATGGAACCTTCTCTTTCGACCAAATTTCCGAGAACAAAGCGGTGAGTTCTCGGACCAGCGATGCGCCACTATCTTTGAATAGAGCTGGGTGAAGACCATCAGAGCCGGGAGCTTTATAACGCTTCATGTGCCGGAGCTCCTGCTCGATTTCCTGGGAAGAGGGAGGGTCTGTTGGGGTAGACCACTCGGCCCCAGCGCGAGCGCCAGAGGTAGCAGATGGAGCTGGGGGCCAAAAAAACTGCGAGCAAAAATGTTCGGCCCATCGCTCCAACCGTCGTTGAAGGTTGGTGATTAAGGTGCCATCCGCTTCGCATATTGTTTCACTTATACCAGATCGAGCACCTTCGGTGACTCGAAGGAGATGGAAGAGTTTCCTGGTATTACCAGAGAGACTAGCAAGCTCCATCTCCCTAGCACGTTCACACCACCAAGCTTCGCGGTCCATTTGCAGACTCCTGCGCAACTCTCGACCAAGGTATTGGCTTTCTTCAACGTGTCTGGAATCCGATGGGATCAAGCGGCGTCTGTCCATCAGCGACAAGGAGTCGGCGGAAATCCAATGTTTCGGTGGGTGACGGGTAACTCCACAAGTGTCGATACTGGCGGAAACTAACGCATCTTTGATATGCGCCCACTGCGAATCGAGATCACCGTCAATAGTTGAGCCAAGCAAAGTTGACAGTGAGGCTTGGTACCTGGTTAAAACCGCAGCGTTTTGTAGATTCGCGACGTCCGGTCGGTAGTGGGCGCGCTTAGGTGATCCTCCGAAACGCATGCAAATCTTAGCACGAACCAATGCGCGATCAGAGTCTAGAAAAGTTGACCAGTACGATCGGCAGTCCGTTACGCTTCCGCGCCATCTGTAGCTGATTGCTATGTGGTCAAGCTGGGAGCAGTCTTGCTTTTGTGAGGGCGGGCGCCAGGTAGCAGTCTGTCTCCTCGAGTGTCGAAAACTAGTGCTCGAAAGAAACAAGCGATGATCAGAGCAAAGAGCAAGTAGTCTGTCTCCATTGTCTGATCGACTGCCACCGAGACCAAAACTACCCCCAATGTGGTGCTCACTTGGTAGAAGGCGGCCAACCCGTGCGTTAAAGTCCCCGGCAAGAATGACTATATCCGTCCGTTTGGAGGAACGCAGAAGTTCATGTAGTTGTTGGTAAAAGCTATCCTTAACTGCATCCGGGCTGCAGTCTGTAGGGGCGTAGGCGGAGACGACAAATAAGGCAAGCTTAACATCCCGACGCCTGCTTACGTTACATGAACCTCTTAGTCTGACTGCACATAGTCGGCTGTTGACTGGGATCCAGTCAAGCAGAGCTGATTCAGCCCTGGCACTTAATACAACCCCAACACCAGCGTGACCTGTGGCGGCAGATTCTGGGTCTCCGGAAAGCCGCAAATAGTATTTGGCGTCAGAGTTTACCGGAGAGGCCATTCTGATGACGGCGCTAGAGTCTTGTAATCTGGTCTCTGAAAGACAACAGATGTCTACCGATAGCGTTTCAAGAGTACGGGCCAGACATGCTTGTCGTCCGATCTGCATCAAAGTTCGAACATTAAAAACTGCGAGGATGAATGGAGAACCAGGTCGAAGAAGAGCTGGAGCTTCGGTGGAGTGAGAGGCGGTTGCGATCGCAGGACAGTGAAAACCGGGAGTTTGGCTGTTACTTCCATCAGCTGCGAGACGTGGGTCGTTTGTGACGGTGACCGTAGAAGACACAAGAGTACATGTACGTGAAGGACGGGAGGTGGGGTGGTCTGTGAGTGGACGTTGAGCGGTTGAGTTAAGACAGTAGAGCGGCATAGCAGTAGTAGTAGTGAGCGGTGTAGTCTTGGGTAGCAGATGGTAGACCGATGGCGGCTATGATACTCCAGATGAATGTTCCAATAACCAGTTGGCTGCTTTGGTATTTCTTCTGTATACAAGTACAATGATTGCAAAAAAGCGAATGCAAAATGGTTTCCTTTACTAATTTCTCAGTGTTCCGCAAAATCGCCGCACTAATGGGCCTAAATTCCCTTGTTTGTCGAAAGTGGAGGGTCCAGGTTGACAACCATCTGCCCGAGCAGTGGAGTGCCCCAAGGCACTGTAGTGGGGCCTATTTTGTTACTGATCCATTTAAACGGTGTGCCTCAGCCTCTCTGTTCGCCTTGTGTGTTGTCTGCAGACGAATTGAAGGTATGAAGAGTAATCCACGCACCCAATGACTGCGATCTGCTTCAGGAAGACATCGACCACCTCTGTAGGTGGTCGGCAGAGGTCAACCCGGTCAAGTCGCAATTCATGAGGCTGGGTAAGTGTGACTACAGTTGAACCTACACTGGGGCCGGTCAACCGTTGCATCCCGCGCCTTTCGTGAGACCTCGGTGAACTAACACGCTGCGATCTAAAATCCGTGGACAACACAAATAAGTTCTACCGAAACGAAGATTGCATGTTTTAAGAGCTCAAACGCAGCTTCGGCACTTGGTCCCAAGATATTGCCACTCGCCTCTTCGTTTAAATCACCCGACAAATGCTACAGTACGGCTCACCCACTTATTATCTTATCGACTAAGGCCAAGCGCAGCATGTGGCCACCAGGCGCATCTTCACTTTACGACGTATGCCCTATGCAGACCGGTGCAGGAAGTTAGAACGTTACACCATGTCTTGTCGTCCAGTGCGGGTTGGCCTCATAATGACTCCTTGGTGAGTATCCCATATTGAGGTCGCTGCTCCACATGTGCACACCCAGCAGCACACGAGGACATCATCGCTACAAGCTTGTAGTACCGGATTTGAGGTGGGTTTCCATCCAACGTTGCTTCGAATGGAGAGCAGGGAATATATGGAGCACGTTGTAGCCGGCAGCATAATCGGTCAATGTAGCTGAAGTATTTCAGATGCAACTACAAAGAGACTTACCATCTTGTTGCTTTCTTCCAATAATTCCGTATACCAAAGGACAGTGGTATTCAACAAAATTGACATAAGTTCACTTATGCAAGCAACACGTCATATAATAGGCAATAAGTAGGTAACATTTCTCAATATTGGGAGGCATGGCTGTAAGCGAGAGGTACGATGCAAGTCAGTTGAACGTTACCAGATCGAAGAAACGAGCCGACAAAGAACGAGGAAGGTTTTCGAACCTAGCTGACGGTTATCCCAATTAATGTGAAACATATGGCTGCGATAATCTCATTGAGTCAGCTTGCTTCAAGGTAAATCACGTGAGGGTTTGATCCGGTTATCTGAACAGTATTGCACTTGTCGCTACCTGAACTTAACTCGAACGTTGACTGAACTTCTTCTAGGGTAGAAGAAACAACCAGGTAGTATGCGGTACCAAATGTAAATAAGGCGCTTCAAGCTGACGAGTTCCGTTATCAGACGTAAAAAAACAATAGGGGCCGAAATTGCACTGGTTAAGACCCTGTCTGGAACAAGTGCATGGAGAGTGTCTTACGATTGGCAAGCGTAGAATTTTAGAAACGGACTTCGGATAAAAATTTGGACGTTAGCTTTACTGTAACAGGATCGAAATTCCTAGGGAGCACTGGATGCTAGCACCTTACTCCGTCTCAAGGAAGTCGAAACCAATGCCATTCATGATGCCTTATGGTATCGGATACATTGGTTATGTCCTTACCCCACGACAGTTGCTCTAAGTACGTTCCCCATGCAGTCAACGAAGCAGAGATCTTTAAACCTGTCGTTTATTTTGACTCAGTGAATCAAAAAAGCTCGTACATTGTTCCTTTTTGCCCGGAAACTCGATGATCATGGTCAGACAGCAGAACATGGATCTGATAGGGCCACCATTGGATTCACTAAGGCAAACAGCGTAATCCAAGATATACCGGTTCCAACTTTTGGCTCAACCTCGCGGCCGAATTATTATGCCAAGTGAATCGGCCGTTAACGATGCAATGGCGTTAACTGTGCCGTCCGATGGGCATAAATGTTGCGTCGTTTTATTAGTATCTGGCTTGCCCTGCGACACATTAGCTGAGCCGTGTTTCTCACCCTCAGCCAACGTGTATGCATGATGATGAGTGTCTGGCTTGATTAAGGTGCACAGAATCGTTTGCGAATGAAGTATCTCTTATCAGTTCTACTGAATAGTAGTTAGGTTCGCTTTAGGTGCGAAAACACAGTAGAAGGCAGCTGCTTATGTCTTACAGTGTCTCCGGCTTCTTGAGAAAAGTAAATTTTCTGCGTACATGGGAATGCGTGGTGCTGAATTATTTGGTGCGAGCAGTGGTAACACATGAATGGGCAAAGTAGCGAAGACATTAAAAACACGTTTTTTGACAAACAGCATCTCTAAATCGTCACACATATTGGGTGGAAATCTGAGCAGGCTCGTTGTCTAGTATTAATCCCCATGAAACGTGCCGCACCGTTTAAAACAATGCAACATTGTCCCCAATTCGTGTTCCCTTGATCACTATCTTGATGTATCTCGTTCGCCACCACTTCACGCGACTGGCCATTACCCTTTGTGCCCACGTTATGGGGTGATAAGGAGGCATGAGGCCGTCGATAAACATGATTTTGTGTTCTTCTGCCGTTATAAGCCGTATTTGACGTGACGTGGTTGAGATACGACTAGTGTTCGCATCCAGTTTCGGACGTTCAGTGCGGAATCCATCAATTCGGTCATTCAAAGCTTTCAGTCTATCCATAGCGGCCACTTATATAATCGGGGCAACGAAAGTTATGATGACTCAATCTGCCAAGTTTCCTTACTGAGCCAGAGGTGAGGAATCGAAAAGCTGAGGTAGTTTACACTGGGATGTGGACACTATGTTAGGGGTGTGTAACAACAACCGAAATAAAGTTGTATAACAAGAGCAAAGTTGGAAGATTATCTTTTGAGGCTCAGTAAAAGGCAGCTGAACAGCAAAAGCATCACATACTGAGACGGATTAATTTCCCACACGCCGTCGACCAATCTGCCCCATGCAGTCGGGTGGACGTGTTTGCGATCCGTCAAATCGGAGTCAGATCGTGCGGTTAGACTTGGTAAACTTCTGGCATATCGCCCATCATCTGTGCTGGAGTCATTGTGCCGGCACCAACGGTTCAAGTTTTCGTAACTCGCCCTCGACTGAATCCGGTGAGCGTACGAACACTAAGCGGAAAATGGGAAGTGGAAAGATGATGAAGTGTATTCAACTAACAGTCAAGCCCTCTGGCCCGTGGACTCATCTAAAGTGGAAGGCAGAAGTTAGCAAAAACAAGTGTAAGTTTCCACATCAATGTGACAGGACGTCCTAAAAAGATAATGCAACATATAACCGTCCAGCTGCAGTAATGACACGTTAGTTTCCCCATCAATTGACAGGTTCGACAATGTAATCGATGATAGTGATCCGATGAAAATCACTCAGCTCGAACCCGCCATGACAATGGTCGTCCACATGCTAAATGTGCTTGACTAGCGGTCTCTTCATCACATAGTCCGGGAGCATTGAGAAGTCGCGTCAGTGACCGGTAAGTGAATGGGAGGAATAGGGATACCACCGCAAAAAAGGATTCCCATCTGTTCAATTCCTGCTACTGCGCTGAGCCATGCACAGCGCAGTCCAGTCCAAGTTATATTTGTGTTTATGCTTATTGGGACCGTTAAACGCCGCTAACAACGTAAGGTGAAAACGGAAACCTCACCGAGAGTGAAGGATACCGTTGCCTTGATGCTTTGGAAATAAAGCGGTGGACAAAGATAAGTGCTGGGATATATCAGAGGAAGCTTAAAGTATGCACTTGTATGTACTTGCAGAGTTGCAGATCCTGCCATTTGAACCAAGAGGACTCAGAGTCACCTGGAGTACCCCGTTTTCCGCTTGATCCCTGTCAAGAAAACGAGTGTTCGTTTTAGTATCACGCTCACGCATCAGCCTGCATCACCGACCATTCCATGGGTGAGAGCTCACTTTCCAAGGAGCATTCGAGACTTTCTGAGGACAAGGCCTTAGGAAGTATGAAGACCAGAACGGCCGCACTTGTACTGTTACACTAGCGCAGCAAGCGTAGTGAAGCACCTAAAATCAGCAAGTTCCAGAGGAGAAGGTTCGTGCCACTTCAGAGCAGGGTTGTGTAGCGTCATTACTGTGGAAGTTCTCTAGAGGAAACAAATGAATGTAAGCTCACTACTCGCACAGCAAGTTGCAAGAACTGTAACAAACGGGGTCATTTTTCTCGATACCGTCATTCCCATCGAGTTGCCCACCTTGTTAGTCACCAAAAATATTATTAGGTGAAAACTTCCCCGCACGTTGGATAAAGTTTTCTGACATAACTCAAGCTCCCCGCTCCTGACATCGGAAGTTTGGCTCTAGGCGTGCCGAACCACTCAGACAGTTGACACGGAACTAGACACCGCGTTGTCAATAACAAGCATTCCGTCTAACGTTTATGACAATTATTCGTATGACCTCCCAATTTACCCTACATCATACAGGTTTGATTCCTAGTTAAATACATATGAACATATTTGAGGACACACAGGGACGAACTTGGGCTACAATCAGTTTTATCCGATGTTGCTGTGTACTTAACACCTGAAGATATTCCAGCTTTGCTAAGGCGGAAGACCATGGTTGCACATAACCTAACACTATATATCGAGTAAATGTGCATAATGGCACTCAAGGTACCAGCCAGTGAAGGCTAATATCTGAAGTTGTTGACCGAAACCGTTGGCGAAACTCCATCCGCCACTCATCGCGCACGTCTGAAACAGGAGGCTAAATCAATGTTGGGGTTTACAGTAGTCGCGTGTGTCTGGATTGCGACACCCAATCCCGATTGAGACCCAGGTTTCAATTCAAGTGAACCCCTGTCATTTGGATTAATAGGACAGCATCCGAAGGGGAGAATACGTTGTGTTGGAAGTGAACTGCACAGAAAACGTCAAATCATTTTTCGCATTGCAGCCACGCCTTAGTCCATTGGAATAAGGTGAGATGGCAGAAAACCTATAAAGTAGATGATGTTCAACAATCCGGTAAAATCAGTTAGCGATTCTGAGTGTGTCTATCCCATGGCCGCTGTCCTAAATATACATGGTGTTGCGCGTGTATGCAATTATTCCAGAGTACTGAATAATCAAAAGGTTGTGAAAATGTTTTTTTACAACAGCAGATGAGTTAGTAGTTAGAATAACACGTGCAGAGTTCCTCACTAAATTAAGCATGATGAAAGCCTTTTTCCTCATGTTACTAATAACGAATTCCCAGGCATCGATTGATCAATTTCACTGAACAAGTTCGGCACTGATCCGATACCTAAGTAGAGATTCATACACCTGATCGTTTCGAGGCACATAGTCGAATTTTCCACACTCATTAAGGTGTAAGAGTTTCAAAATGCCAACCAAAACAACCTAAATTTACAAGCTGCACGTAAAACACGAAGGTCACTAGCGAACTGCGCATACTTTACGCAGTATAGCACGAGCCCGAGGTCGTTAATGGTTGTCGAATGATGGGAGGAGGTTTGTAGTCTAACCCTAAGGACTACTCAGTGTACACACAAGTGAAATCGTGGCATAATCTGATGCGCGTCAAAGAACAACAAGAACACCATGCTGATTAGTAAACCAGTTCAACCCATCGCTTACCCAGTGATGCTCTGTTTTAAAGTGGTAATCGAAATTATGTGACCCTTAGTGTCAATGCCCGACAGTTCCAAAAGTCCCAGCAAGCGAAAATGTGTCAATGTACCGAGACGATGTCTCAACTGCTCGACGCGCCGAGCAACGCACTGCCCCCTCAATAAGCACACTTGGGGAAGATAATGGACTGTGTACGCAGCAGTGCCTTAGTTCTTTATCTTCCCCCTTGCAGCTGTCCAAGAAGGCCACAGCTTACAACTGCTACGTGATCAGATGACTATTTATCGAGTGACGACCAACAGTACCAATGTGCGTGCGTTTGAGCAGTGGATGCCACGTTTCGCAACACATATTCCAACGAGTGCTTAGCACCGGGTTTTTCCACTCCGCCCGTCGGGCGTACGCCATATAGCTGACAGGAGGTAGAGTTGCAGATAGACTTAGTGCTCTAACTACCATATAACACAAGGTCCGCATCCAAGGATACGGTACACAAAGCTTGTACATACTGAACGGAAATAATAACAAAATGCCAAGTGAAGAAGTGTGGAACCGAAGGAGCAGCGTTTTTGCGAGCTTCATGGCCTCACGTCATCAGCAAGGTTGCACTGCAGGTTACCGTGCGGCGTACTCGCCGTTGTAAATACAGTCTGGTGGATGTAATTCGTGTCATATGTCGAATCTAGCAAAAAGTAGGCGGCGTATACGTGAATGGAAAGAAATGGCGGGCGAACAACATGAAACACGTAGCATGACAGAAAAACCGGCTAGCGAAAGAAATATAAACCCTGAGTCGGACAAAGTAACCCAAATCCCGCAAAGCCCCGCACGCGTCTGCATGTAGTCGTGCTGTAATAACAATCTCAGTAGAAGACCACAGCGGATAAACCGGACGTTTTCAGCAGCACTGTACAGACTCGGGAAGAAATACGGGCGCACTACCTGAGGGAAGAAACAACAAAAACACTAAAACGAGGGTCTCTAAAGCACGTATGACATCAAAAGGTAGTTTATTTAATGAAAAATAGAAATCGGAAGACCTCATGACAATTCGGTAGGTCAAAAATGAGAGGAGCACCATTTGTGCCACGGGTTAAGTTGTATGTGCTGTCATATTATGAGAATTGGAATGATAAGCGACTCTGTGAGGAAAGGAGGAGCTAAACTGATAGAGACCCGGCAGATGGTAGAATTCATTGGGAAAACCTACGAAAAAGCGAATCGTTTGGGTAAAAGACAACGGACCTAGCGCAGTAGGTCAATTCTCGTGGCCGAAATCTTGGTGATCAAGAAGGGTGTATGAACCCGTATCAACCGGTTGCTTAACCTCCAGGCACATCCCGCAGTACCACCCAGGACCTCCGTGTGGCACTCGCCAACGTGTGCAGCCTAATGAACAAACGTGACGAACTGTGCCACTTCGCTCTCTCGGATCGGCCGGACGTTTTAGGATTTGCAGAGACTTGGTTGAACTCCGGCGTCATACCCCAAGAAGTCGTGTTGTCAGGATACTCTTGTTTCCGATACGACCGAAAATCAAAGGCTCACGGTGGTGTTCTGTTGTACATAAGATCGTTACTATCTGGCAAACTTACCAGTACCTATCGGAGCGAGGATAGTTTATGCGAGCAATTGTGGTGCACAATCCGCCTCAGACCTGCAGAACTAATAGTGGGTATTATCTACCGTAGACCATTAAACCGTTGTTGCGATTGGCTACCAGATGTACAGAAGCACATGAGCCGCCCTGAATTCTTACTGATGGGGGATCTAAACTTACCTAAGATATTTTGGGCAGACGTTCGACTTCTTCCCGGTCATGGAAAGGTTGAGGCTCAACTTGCTAAAATGATTATTAAAATCGGGGAAACGCAACATGTCATCCAACCGACGCGCGTAACTCCGCATTCGGCATCTTGTATGGACCTAATGTTTACGAGCTGCGAACAGAAGCTGAACTAGATCAGAGTCATCGACCTCTGGCGAACAGTAACCACTGCTCTATTGTGGCAGCTTGGAACTGCCGTTACCGTATTACAACCAACGGAAGCTGACATTCACTTATTGGAAGACGGATTTCAACGGGCTCGTCCAAGCCGCAAGTCAGACTGATTGGACACTACCACAGGATGCGTCGCCTGATGCCTGTTGGTCATTAATGAAAGGGTGGCGTAACTCGCTGTATACTCGGTTCGTTCCCCTGAAGTATTCAAAAATTGGACCTATCAAACCGCATTGGTTTGATACGGAATATAGACAGTTATCGCGACGGCGCCGCAGTTTGGAATAGATACATCAGCTCGGTTTTGATGAAGATTACACGGTGTACAAGAAACAGCGTAAGTTATCTAACGCCGCAAAGCTCAAAAAACGCCGGCAGTTCGTTGAGGTGCTAGCATCCTCGGCCACAAATGCACCCAAAAGAATATTTGCCTACTTGAAACGTCAACTGAAACCTGGGAGCGACCTAACGGTCTTAGAAAGCTTGGACGGACAGACGCTCATTTCAGGCGCAG